CTACCCATGAACCTCCAAGCAGAGAAGTCTTAAACCGAGGGTTCCGTGATGGTGTGCAGCTTCCGAGCCGAGTGGCGGTGTGAGCTGTGGTAGGTAAGGGCAGAGGTCGTCTGCTACGTGGCACTTTCTAGATGTCTGCTGTCGTGTTGTTGATGTCCCGGCGAGACCTCTTTGGTCTCGTTTTGGTAGGTTTTGGTTTGCCTCCGACTGTTTTGCGAAGAGGGTCTGACAGGCCACTGTAGATCTCATCCCTCCCCCCGACAGCTTAAACTTCAACCACACTTGTCTTTGTTCCCGTGCATCCCTTTCTTCAACTGCGGGCCACCAAAACCAATCAGAAATCCTTTCGTGAAGCTCCCTGTCGAGTCCAGCGACCTGGGCCGACTGGCTGGCCATGCCTTGCAGCTGGGCGTTGCGTGTTCAGGTTCAGTTTTGATGACCTGCGACAAAGATCAGAATCCTCAGTCGCTTAGCAGTGCCAGGCCGCATAACGTTGGTCTGACTATCCTCCGGCGACATGAGCACATGAATCCGTGAGTCCCTGAAGTAATTCTCGCTGGGGGCAGCAGAGTTCCTAGAGAGGAATCCGGCGGATTCTCCGAAGACAGCCGAGGCAACAACACCGGCTCTGCCCCAGCGCCCTGGCTGAGAAGCCACTTCAGGGATGCCATACTAGGAAGTAGATCCTTTTAATGGGGGTTCCTACAAAGAGCCCTTAGTAGTATAGCCGAATTAGGGGTTCTAGTTTGACTGCCCGGGTGGACCGGGACATTACGGAAGTGATCGTGGAAGATCGAGCATGGAATGGACCTCGACACGACCGGATGCGACTGCGGGAGGCGCGCCGTCGCGACTGCAAAAGCGACCGCGGCAGGGACACCGAAGGACCGCAGAAAGAACTGCAGAAGATTCCTCGGGTGCGACTGTGGAAGCGACCAACGTGAAAGCAACTGCGAGGAAGGAAGCCCGAAACGAGGGCAGGAGAAGGTCGGACAGCACGACAGCGACTGCGAAAGCACTGCAGAAGGGGACAGAAGAAGTGTTCGCGGAAGTGTTTGCAGGAGCGACCAGGGAAGGAACCTTGGCGCCCAATAGGGAAGTGATGGCGGAATGGACCCACATGACAAAGTTTCAGGCTTCACGCGGAGGCAGGGTCCACGGCTTTCAGGTTGAGGCTTTGGCTTCGGGTTTAGGCCTTGTACATTGAGGCCCAAACACCCCTGGTGGCGCTCAAACGAGGTTCGGTGTTGGTCCTTTGGTTGAAGATGGCCAAGACGAATAGAAGCTGAGGGTTTTGGGCCCAGAACCCTAAACTTAAACCTAAACCCTA